TTAACCTGCTTTCGTGAAACTTTTCCGTGGTGATTTATAAAAGCAATACTATCATTGCACTATGACTAGTAAAAATGAACCTAAATAGTGCTGTACCAGCCACAGAGCCCTAGAAATCAAAGCACCGCACGCAGTGTATGCACACTATACTAGACAACTTATTGTATTTGCGTGGGCGAATCAAGGCGCCGCCAGTACTATATAGAACAGTTTTTGAATGAACTGTACTATATCGTGCGGAACTTACTATATCACACGAACTGTACCATATCCGCGGACTACGTACACTTTTGCGGGAATGACGCCCTCGGCGGCCGTTCGTAGACGGACTTCGACTCAGACGGTGACACAAACAGCTGCTGGAAGGGCGCTCCGCGAGCTTCTCGTCTTCTCTTTCGTTCTGAACTTGCAAAAAAAACGATTTTCCTGGCCGCCGCCTTTTGAACTATATCTGCGGACTAGCGTACGCTTTGCGGGAATGACACCCTCGGCGGCCTTTCGTAGACGGAGTTCGACTCAGACGGTGACACAAACCGCTGCTGGAAGGGCGCTCCGCGAGCTTCTCGTCCTCTCTTCCGTTCTGAACGCCGGTTTTCCTGATCGCCGCCTTTGAATCACCCACACATACAATAAATAACTTAATGTACGGAAGCATGTGCTGTGCGCGTGATAATGGTACTCGGAACGTGTCTGGATAGACCATACAGCAACTCGGCTGCGCCTCGTGCTGTATGACTATCTCGACCACGCCCCTCGTACCATTATTACGCGCACAGCACTGACTTCCGTACATTAACTATTACTTATTAGTATGCATGCCATGGTGTATGGTGTGCTGACTCAGCCATACACTCACATATGGTGTATGAGCTCTCATACACCATGGCATGCATACTAATAAGTTGTCTTAGTGCGCATTCCTGTGGTACAAATTGGTTACAATACACGACGGTTTAGTGCATACACTACTCGTGCTACTCACTCGTAGTGTATGTCCACTAAACCGTCTCGTGGGTATAGTGTAACCTGTATACATATTAGCTAACCATCTGCGTATACACCTACACATTCGTTACACTTTTTTTGTGTAAAAATTAGGTTTTAAGTGATTTGTGAAAGTATTATGAAGCATGCACATACATACATACATACATACATACAATAACATAGCAAGTGTATGTAGGAGTAGTAGTGGACAGAACATACACTATAGCAGAAGGAGTGTGCCAGAGCTGGGAGGCGGTGGTTGTGGAGGAGGGAGGGGAGAGAGTCTGCTCCACGAGGCTGGCCAACTGGACACACCCCGACACTGATGACTGGAGCATCACCAGACATGACCCCAGAGCCTCCCTGCAGCATAATGTAGAGGACACACGTTGTGACCAACACACTCTTGCTTTTATTGTACATTGCATCTACGTGCATTTTGCATTACTGGATGAGCAACTATGAGGGTTGCAGTCACGTGGAGGAATGACTGTGACATTTTAGTTGATGCATGCACGTTTTTGAATCACATAGGACCTTACAGTAACGTCGGATAAATTAGAAGCGTGTGCGATTCGGTAAGCTCGGCTCACCAAAATGTATATTAATACTTTAGCCATCGTGTGTTCCTGATGACAGTCATGCTATGTACAAGCGCAGAGCAAGGCAGATGCAGTTACAATCACACAAAGCCCCAAACATTTCAAAATCTTGCAGAAGCACGCAGTGCAATAATCTGCGTAATCCAAATTGGGTGGTGCAAACGTTTTAAGTTAACACGGACGTCTTATGTACTTTTCATTGGTGAGAGCACTCAGTTGTTTCTGGAGGATGGCGAGAGAGGCAGTGTCCTCGCGGTGCTGTCTGTCCCTCTGGTCCTCCCTATCCTTCTCCCCTGATACAGCTGCCTGGACCTGGAGACTCAGTCTCTCCCTCTCCTCCTCTCTCTCCCTCAGAACTCCTCGATGCTCCTCCACCACATCCCTCACTTCCACCAGCTCCTCCTGGTGGATAAAAGTTGCACATGCTCTACACAGATACATAATTACATGTTCCCCCCTATACTTACACAACTACTTATGTTGGCTGCAAGTCAATAACCAGAAAAGATGCCACAGACTTGGTAAATGTGAACGTAAGAGGCACCCAGGTTCATTTTTAACAGGACTTGCAAACCTACCAATCCTTGTGCAGCAATCAGCAGAGCACACGCACACACAGAGAACAACATACACAAGAAATGTATATACCTTAACTCTCTCCAGCTCTTGGTGTACCTGTGCCACTCTCTCTGCCCCCTCCTCCTCCACCACTCTGTGTAGTATATCACAGCCAATCAACCTTTTAACACAGTGAATAGAGGCAGAGGCTACCAACGTTTTCAGCACCTACAGTGCAGTGTCTATTTGAGGATTGAGAAAATACGGAAGCTGTAGCCAATTGTTTAAGGTGGTGTAAAAGCCATACACTTGAGGGGACTTGCTGGAAACACATGTAAGCACTTAGTACAGTTTATTCAGTGGCTCAGTTGGTGGTTGAGATCACAGCATGTGTACTGTGTCACACACAAACACAGTGTGCAATGTGAGGTGGCCATTCTGAGGTACTATCACTGGCTGAATGTAGCCTCAAATGAACTTGCAGCACATCAATTAGAGCACTGGTATGAACATACAGAGTGTACAACTGGCCTTCAGAACCACTCTCACATGCACGACACTGACACATACACACATGAACTAACAAATACATTAGATAATACATACATACACAATGGACACACAAAACACAGACACAGGAACACATGTTCTCTGAACCCTATCATCATTGCCACCAACATTGGTCACAACACAACATATGTAGCAGTAAGGGAAAAACATTAGTGAAGGGATGTTGCACTGAATTAGTATACACTTTAGACAGTTCATTATACTTGCTGTAAGTTGATTTTAGCATACTTCCATGTAAAAGATAAGCAGGAGGGCATTAAAAGAGAAGGATAACCCCCTGCAACCCTGCTAGCTAAAACCCAGCTTACAAGCATGTATATACATGTGTACTGGTATCGCTACACGTATATACACAGTGAGGGCTAAGATGGCCATCCACAGCTGAACCTGTATTTCTGCAGCATCACTTGCTTGACACGTACCTGAGTTGGGTGGTGTGTTCATTCTGTAGCTGCTGGAGTCGAGACTGGAACTCCTTCTCTGTTCTTGTCATCAACACTCTTCTCAATCGCCTCTCTGGCCTTCACAGACACAACATAAGTCACAATGTACATGTGTTTTGAAACAGCTGTCATCATAAATCACTTCCTCCATTTTAAAGGACTCAAATCTACTCTATGTAAGAGATAATGTGCGTTTAGAGTTCTATACGTGATTTATGGGAACGAGGGGTGTGGTCGAGAGACTCATACAGCACGAGGCGCAGCCGAGTGCTGTATGGGTCTCGAGACACAACCCGAGTTCCCATAAGTTATGTATAGAACGATAGGACACACATTATGTGTTTTATTGTGACTTCGTAGCAGTCGTCGACATCCAGCGAGAGAAATACGACTGCGTAGCCTATACCCCGTGCGCACGTGCGCACTCGCTGGCTTCTCGAGTGAGTTCTCTGTTCTCGAGGCTACCGTAATCGAACAAGGTCGTGATGGTGGCTCTTTCTCCCTCAGAGAAACTCGTTTCATGGGTCGCTGGGCCGTTTGACCGGTCGGTGTGCCGCGGCCGCGGTCTCGCTTGCCACTGGTAGCTGAATGAAGGGGTGTGGTCGCCTCAGCCATCCCTCGCCTCTACAGACTCTACAGAACTGTCATCCCTCGCCTCTAAAGCCTCTACAGAACCGTTTTTGTCTACACTATGGGTACGATGCTGCTGCTAGTTCAATAATTCTTTTATTGAAAGTTCAATATTGGTCATATTGAACGCATCTACAATACGGGAAATAAGAGTACGCGCGGCAGCTTTGATCCGCCCACGCAAGTCACAATAAGTATATATACAACAGTGTTGCACAATACACCACAAATAGCGATGCCTCAAATACCTGGGGCACAGTAAAAGCTCACTTGTACATGTTTACCTGAGCCATATTGTGCTGGTGGGAGAGGGTGAGTGAGTCCAGCTGTGTCTCGTACTGCTGCTGCAGGAGACCGACCTCTGCCTTGTGGGACTGGGTCAACTGCAGACACAACACAAACATAACATATATACAGATGTACAGTAATATGTTGTTTGGTGTCTAGACAATGTGAAGGGAAATGGACTTTTGTGACACAGAATCATGTTGAGTTGGTTTGCATCACACAACACATGTAACAATAGACCATGTGATGCCAAGAGAAAAAAGATGTGGAACTCTGGACAGCTGTTTCGGGCTTGTTGGCCCTCATCAGCAAAGCATACCCCAACTTCTCTCTCTGGCATCACGAGTTTAAAGGCAAAGTTGAGCGCAGCACTTGTGGTTTTGAACTAATGAGATTCATCCCCACAAGGCTTTGCTCAGGCGCAGCGCTTGCATCACACCCATCGCGCCATGGACTCCAGTAATGTACATTTGTATTATTGTGTGTATTTGTCATCAGAGGCTCTCTCACCTCCTCCAACTCTTGGTGCAGTCTGGTGTCAAAGTCCTCCCTGAGCCTCTCCACCTCCTCCTGATGTCTCCCTCTCTCCTCCTCTCTCTCAGCCTCCAGGGCCACTACCCCAGCATGGTGTACCTCTCGTAGCATCTCCTCATTCTTTACAGCCTGTTCCTTGGCAGCCTTAGCCATCGCTTCCTCAACGTTAACCCCCTCCCGCTGACCTGCCCTCTGGAGCTCAGACTGCAGAGTTTGAATTGCCTCGTGTGCGGCTAATAGTTGCCCCTCAAAGTCAGTCTGAAGCTGTTCCCGCTGTTCCACCAGGGCCTGTTTGTGGATGTCTTGAGCTCTCCTCAGCTCAGTCTGTAGTCCTCCTTCCAGAGCCATTCTTAGAGTTTCCAGAGCAGCCTCCTTGTCTCTGGTACACTCTTGCCGAATCTCCTCGACTTGCTCCAAGTCCTCTGCCTCCATCTCACCCCGCAGTGTCTCTTCTCTCTCCTTCCACTCCTCTCCCTTATCTTCTTCGGACTGCGTCCCTTTTTCATGCTCGCTACCCATAGCTTCTTCAAGAGCAGATATCCTTCCCTGGTACTCGGCTCTAGCAGACTCTAACTCCGCCTTACAAGCTTCCACTGCCTCTTGGCGTTCCTGGGAAAGCCTGGCCATCTCTTGCCTGTGTCTCTCCTCTTGCTCCCTCTCCAGCTCCTCCACAGCCCTCTGCTTCTCCAGCCTCAATTCCCGACTTATCTCCTCCACTTGTGCTGCATTCTTCAGCGCTGAGTCGGTCACGGCCTCAGCTAGTTTGGCAGTAAACTCTTCCTCGAGCCTCGACTGCAGTGCCTCACTCTGGAGGGCAAATTCGCCGCGCAGCTTCTGTTCCTGTGCCTTCAGTTCACTCCTGTGTTGTCGTGACAGTCTCTCTCGCTGGAGTCTCAGTTCTTTCTGGCCACGGGGACTCAGCTGGGGGCTCAGTCGAGGAATCAGACTACCCTCCCTCTCACTACTCTCCCCACCTTCCACCTCCGTCTCCTTCTCTAGTTGAGCTCTGATGGCCTCCACCTCTTCCCTGTGCTTGTTTTCACTCTCAGCCAAAGCACGCTCTAATTCCTCCTTATACTTTGCCTCGGCATTATTCAATTCTTCTTGTGCCTCAGTAGACGCTGCGAGAGCGTTTTCAATCTCCTCCAAATGGCGTTGTTTGAGTTGCTCTATTTCGGCAGCAAACTCCTGGGCCTGTTGCTGACGGTGAGTCTCGACCTCCGCTAGCTGTGCGGCCATGTTCTTCACCTCTTCCTCTTTCAGAGCCAGCCACTGCTGCAAGTCTCTCTCAAACTGGGTTCCTTCGTCAATGTCCCCCACCTCCAAGAACTGAGTGATGCCAGCTTCATCTAGGGTGACCCCTGATACAACTGAAACCTCTGCTGCACATCCTGCATGCGTCGTATCCACAGTCGACGGCTCCATTGCGTCTTCCAGGCCCTCCTGTTGCTCGAGTGCTGTACCGCTAGCCGAGCCATCCCCGACACTAACAGCGCCTTCCTCAAGCGGTCCAATGTCCTCAAGTACTTCTTCCTGCTGCTGTTGCTGCTCTGTTTCTAGAGGTTCTTCTCGTACCATCGCCTCTTCGTGCGGAACCTGTTCAACATTCGCCATCTCTGCTCCACAAATTCAACTCCTAGCCGAAGAGTCTGAGAATAGTTTGCGGTTCGTCCTGACTTATAAGAAAAGGCCTTACCACCAACCATGCAAAGAGAACGAGCACCTGACTTTCAACCTCACAGCTGCAAAATGCCCGACGACGACACAAACAACCAGCAACGCAAATTTATGGCGCGCACTTGGTGAACGCCCACTCACACACTCTAAACGACGCACACCAAAACACACACACAATAACATAGCAAAAAGTATTATTATGGACATAAAAAGATGTGTACATGTTGTTGTGCAATATTACTGTACAGAGTAAACCCTAATAGAGGAGAGACAAATGAAACCTGTAATAAAGGTGACTCTTGTTCCAGCTCATGAAACATTAGGTGAAAACTCTAGCTGTGTGTCAGGAGACGCTGGTTAGGAGGTGTCACCACGTGATTGCTGTACTGCTGTCCAACCCTGCCCACGTGGAGGTGGAGTTTGGACTCAATCTGTATCAGATCAGACTGTAGCTGATCCTTCTGGTTCATCAACTCCTGTTCGAACCTCGCCTTCTCAAACAGCAGCTCCTCCAGTCTCTGTTTCTCCCCGAGCCTTCGCTCCAGCTCCGTCCGGTGAAAACTGAGATCTCTCTCCAGCGTTTCCTTCTCTCGTAGTTTCTCCGACAGTCGTCGACGTGCTCGCGAGAGGCTCTCCTCGAGAGCCGACCTTTGACCCAAGACGAGTGTCCCGTCACGTGGACTGTGAAGATGTGAGATGTCCAGACTACGAAGGTACTGTTGCTGGATTTCGGCGTCGGCAAGTTTCTGGGTGAGCTGGTTCTGCATCTCCGCGAAAGCCACATCCTTCTCGCTGAGTTTGCTGCGAAGTTCTGTAATACTCTGTTCCATCTGTTGGACTTTGCTCTCCCACGACCTCGTGGACTCTGCAAATTGTGCGTCGCTTTCCTCCCGAGCTCGAGCCAGCTCAGCAGAGAGTCTAACTCTCTCTGATTCGAGATCAGACAAACTCTGCTCCAGTTCATCGTTCCTGCTCCTCATCTCGACTAGCGAATCGCTCTGAACCGATGCCGACTGCTCCCGCTGTTCCTCCAGTTCAGCAGCCAGTGTCTGGTTCTCCCCATGGAGCCGTTTCCCGGTCGCCACAGACTCTCGTAGCCGTCCCTGCAACTGGCTGACCTCTTCCCTGGCACTAGCTATCTCCTCCTGCTGGGCCTGGTGGGTAGACTCTAGTTGGCCCAGCGACACATCTTGCTGCGTGATCTGCTCCCGCAGCTCTCTCTCTCGAGCACCCTGAGCCTCGTTTGTAGCTCTGAGTGCTTCAATTTCCGTTGCAGAGGTCGCTGTTGCTTCTTCCAGCTGAGCCTCAGACTGTATCTTGAGTTCCCTTAGCTGAAAGTCCACTTGCTCACGTGTCTCCTGCAGTGACTTGATTTCCATGTCTTTGGATTGAAGTGCAGATCTGAGGCGTTCAGCTTCTTCCTTGAGCCTGTTGTGTTCTCTGATTTCGGTCTCCAAGTGGTCCAATTCGCCATCCTTAGACTGGATAGCCATTTCCAGACGGGACACCTGCCCTTGAACCTGCTCCAGATTGTACTGTAGTTCCCCTATCGTCCCATCCTTGGATCGGACAGTGTCCTCGAATTGAGCCACTAATTGCTTCAACTGTGCATTCTGCTGGTTGATTGGACTCAATTGTTGCTCCAACATTTCAATACTGGCGGTCTTCTTCTCACACTCTGTGGTGAGACTAGACACCTGGCCTGTGAGCAAGTCATTGTCAGACTGAAGAGTGCTCAGTTTGAGTAGTTCAGCGGTGCTCTGTTCTACTTGTTCCCTATGAGCAGTGTGCGCAGCTTCAACCTCTTCCCTCAAGCGCTCTACCTCAGTGTTCAGCTCTTCAACCTGTTGACCGTGGAGTTGTTCCTTGGATCGGACGATCTCCTGTAACTGAGTCACAGTTGACTTCAGCTGCGCGTTGTGTTCCTTGACGGGAGCGAGCGAGCTCAGTTGTTGCTGGAGTCGGGCAATCTCCTCGCTCTCTGCGCCGGCATTCTCCAGCTGTCGCTGCAGCATCTCGACAGTGGACGCCTGCTGCTGACACCTCCCGGTAAGACTAAACACCTCCGTGTTGAGTGTGTCCATCTCGGACTGGAGGTTGGCAACGGCCATGTTCTTCTCCGCTAGCTGGTCCGTGACTCTGAGAAGTTTTTCTGCCTGTTCGTGGTTCGCGGCCTCGGCGGCTTCGACCTTCTCGGCCTCCACCTGCAGGTGCTCCACTTGGGCTCTCAGCTGGCTTGTGACTTGGGCCAGAGACTGCTCGGCACCGGCGCGGGCACTCTGTGCGATGCTGCAGTCAGACTCAGCGGTCCGCAGTCGCTCACTCAGCCCGCGACACTCCTCTCGGAGCAGGTTCTGAGTCGACTCTGCCTGGGCCAGGACGTCCCGCCCCCTCTCGATATCCCTCTGGGAACTCTCCATCTTTGACATCATGTCTCCCTGCAGCTCCTGCCACTCGGCCTCTTTGTTTCTCACAGCCACGAGCTCCAATTCCATCTTCTGCACCCGAGAATTTGCTTCACCGAGGGAAAGGTTTCTCTGATGTTCGAATGATGTCTGGAGTTCCCTGATAGCCTCACTGTGTTCTGTCTGAAGCCTAGACACCTCGACAGTGTGAGATTCTTGTAGTTTGATGAACTTTTCTCTGCTCTCGGCTTCCATCTTGGCAAACTGCTCTGAGGTAGACTCAAATTCAGACTTCAGCTGCTGGACTTCACTTTCGTGTTGTTGTTTCAAGTGTTCTGTGTTTGTCTTGTGGGCCTTTAGCAGCTGGGCTTGAAGGTTGTCGAGGGCCTCGGCCTGTGTCTGTTGTAGGGTGCTCTGTAGCCGTTCGAGCTCTTTTCTGTGCGTGGAGCGAAGTTCCTGAAGGGCATCATTGGATGAATCCTCACCCACACGCTCTCTCTCTACTTGTAGTTCCCTCTGTAGCTCCTCGATCTGAGAGACAAAGTGCCCTCGCAGGGACTCCATCTCTTCTTCTTTCTCCTTCTCGTGGCGTTGTTTGAGCAGTTCCATGACCTCGGCCTGCTCCTCCTGCAGTCGAGTCATCCTGGAGTTCATGTCGCTCTCCTGCATGCGGTACGCCTTCAGCTGTTTCTGGAGGCTACTCATGTGCTCCTCAGCAGCTTCCAGACTGCCCTTGTCGCTCAGAGCCTCGGACATGCTTTTCTCCAGTAGCTCCACTTGGCTCCCGTGTTCGGATTTCAGAGTCTCCAGCTCTTCCTGGTAGCAAACTCGGGCGTCCTCCTCTGCCCTCTGGAGCTGTTGTACTAGAGTCTCGTTTCTCTCCCTCTGCCGCTTGGCGTCCGATTCCAGCCTCGCCACCTGCTCCCCGAATTGAGCGGTGAGCCCCTGTAATTTAGCCTCGTAGTCCTCCCGGAGCTGTTGCAAGTGCTCCTCGGTCTCGCCGGAGAGCCTGAGACGAGTCTCCAAACTTGCCGCCTTCTCTTTCCAAGAGTTGACCCTCTCCTCAAGATTGTGGGCATTTGTGTTCATCTCCCCCACCTCGGCCGAGTGGGACTCCAGAAGTCTCCTGTTCTCTTCCTCCAGCTGCTCCTTCTCTTGCCTGAATACTGCCAGTCGTGAGGACGTCTGCTGTAGCTCGTCCCGCACTTGACCCAGTTCAGACTCTGCCACACTCTTCTGCTCCGCGAGTGTCTGATAGGCACTCATTATTTGACCGTGGACTTCCTGGATCTTGGAGTTTGCCAACAGCTCCATTTGCTGGGTGTGGCTAACCAGCTGCTCCTGGTGTTCCTCTGCAAGTCTACGCTTCTCTTCTTCGTGTGCCTCAATCAGCTGAGCCTTTTCTTTCTGGTGCATTTCTTTCATGCTCACTTTGATCATTTGGATCCTCTCTGCCTCCTGCTCGGCAGAATCCTTCCCACCGTCGACAAATTCTTGCTGGGCGCTCAATTCGGCCGTCAGTCGCAGAATGTGCTCGGCGTGTTTTCGGTCCTTCTCTTGCAGTGCAGACTTGCGAGCCGCTTCTTGTTGTCTCCGTACGCTCTCTATCTCACTGCCATGCCGATTCCTCAGCTCAGTTAGCTGTCTCTCCAGTAACTGGTGCGATCGCTGGTTCTCCACGAGGCTATGCTGTAGATTGACTATCTGGTCCTGGTAGGTACGAGCGACGGCGTTTCTAGTCTCGTCCAGCATGCGTGCCTGCCGATCTTTCAGGGCCTCTAGTTCACTCTTTAGCTCTCTCTTTTCCTCTTCAGCATAGTCTAGTTCCTTTTGTAGAGTAGCTATTGCTCCATTGTCAGGAGTGGGCTGTCTGAGTGGACTTGGGAACCTTTCTGTAGCTACAAGGTCTCCATTAGGTTGGGAGTCGTGGGGAAAGGTAGTGATGTGAGAGTGAGAGGTGGTGGGGATGGGAGAGTGTGATGGAGGGGGTGTGGGGAGGGTGGAGTGGGAGGGAGGGAGAGGGGTGGAGTGGATGTGGTAGGAGGCGGTGATGAGGGATGGAGGAGGTGAGGAGTGGGAGGGCGGGGGAAGGGCAGGAACTGAGTCAGTTGGAGGAGGAGCTTTGGTTTCTAATTGATGATCACCCTGTGAAACAATAGACGTGCAAACTGTAAACTCATGTAACCAACAGCATACATTGCATGGTGCATGTGTGAATGTTCTTCAAGTGGGCAAAATTTGTCAACTACACAAAAACAATGTAAATTGCAGGTTATGGTCAGAAAGCGCGAAGTGTATAGTGGGCACTATATATAGTATGTACATGTATAGTGGGCACTATATATAGTATGTACATATATTGTGGGCACTATATAGTATGTACATGCATGTATATATATACATATTAGGTTTCAGTGTTGGGATGTGCACATACCACAGTAGGGATTCATGCAACCACAAAAATGTACACTAATACTGGTGGAAGGCACACACTCACAGGTTTCTCTTTAAGAACATCATGTGAACCCACAGTAACAACCAGAAGGACATTCTGTCACTACTGACACTACTACTGCCTAGTATAGCAAGACAAGTTTGAGGGAAAATCCCCAACAAATGAGATTATGGCTAATAGAACTTTCACAGAGTAGTTGTTACACTAATGTACGTAGTAAATAATAATGTGAAAAACTTCACAGATGGTTTACGAACTGTAAAATAGTTTCTCCCTCGATGTTCCTGCTATATTGTACGTGAAATTAAAATTAAATTACGAAACTGCACACACCCACAGGGTTTTGCATTCATTACGGCCTGGCATTGGTCCTCACCGATAGAATGGCGTTGGGAGGGAGAGAGGTTGTCTGACTGGGGTGACTGGAGTCCTCTGGTGGGAGGGGTGAAGCTGACTGGGGTAGGATAGGTTCGCTCTGGTTGAGAAGATAGTCTCCTTCGTCCACCAGATGACTGAAAGTGCTGGCTGGGACGGGGAGCGAGAAGTCGGGCTTTGGCTTCTTCTTCTTCTTGGCTTTCTTTCTCTTCTGGAAGGCTTGTAGCTGGAGGAAAATAATTGCCATCCATCAAGAAGAACATGTTACAGCTGCCAAGAAGAGTGTACTACAATGTGATAAAGCCCCAATGAAGCATTGTTTGGCCAGGGCTCTATTGTGTTGTGAATAAAAAAATTGACCCCTCCTATAAAGCATGACTTCGTGTAATGCGCACAAAGAGACGACATGCACGGACAGGGGAGTATAGCGATTACTAAATGCACACACGCACACGGACACGTGTGACTTTAGCTAACAGGCTTATACTTATCTCATACTCACAGCTTCCTTTCCTGCTTGAAGCTTCAGCTGTCGCTCCTGCTCGTCCATAGCTTAGTGATAGTCCCACACCAGCTGGTTTCACAGTAATCAGGACCCAGGGCTGTCGGTAGTTGGCAGAGAAGGTGCGACAGGCTGCCCCACTCTCCTTTCCGCTCGAGATCTTATCACGTGACTGTCATGTGATTAAACTCTGTCCCGACACACACAAAAAACCGAGTTCGTTGCAGTTTCACAGTCGTCGCAGCCAAAAGCAGCTTCTACTCCTCTCTATACAGCAAAATACGGTGACTGAAAGGCTGGGCTGATTATAAGGCCTTGCCAAGACACTAACGTCTTTAGTTTCGTCCGCCCACTCATCATCATGGCGATGGAAGGGCTGGAGTCGATTCCCCACATCTCTGAGAGGAGCAAGAACGAGAAACTGCCCGTCAAGTACGAGTGTGCCCGCCCCGTGTTCCTGGAGATAACGCAGAAGCAGGCAGACGCCGCCAAAGACCACGGCCAGCGACTCATCCTTACGCCCAGCGACCCGTCCCGAATGCCTTGGAGCACGGGCTACGCCGAGACGATAAACTCGGGCAAGAGCCTCTACTCGAATGAGGACCAGGCCGCCATGCACATTGGCTCCCTCCACGTCCCTGGCGCTGGTCCAGACAAGACCGTAGCCAACATCCCCTACACTTTGTTCTGCATCTTCGACGGGCACGCGGGGACTGGGGCGGCCCTGACAGCCGCTCACACGATGCACATACACATCAGAGAGAAACTGGGCGCCGTGAAGCACTTTCTGGCTCTACAGCAGGCCGAGGTGATAGCAGAGGATGACCCTGGGCTGGGCTGCATCACTGAGCCCATCCCCACAGAGCTGCTGGTACAGGGGGCGCTGGAGGAGGCGTTTGCCGAGATGGACGACCAGATTCGCCGCGAGCGTGCCACCTACAGCATCAAGGGAGGCTGCACAGCTATCGTAGCGCTGTTTCTCCAGCAGAAACTCTACGTGGCCAACGCCGGAGACTGTCGGGCAATCCTCGTCGCCAATAACCTGCAGGACATAATTCCTCTCTCCATGGACTTCACCCCCGAGACCGACAGAAAACGGCTCCAGACGCTCGCCTTCCTCCAGCCACAGCTACTGGGGAAACACTTTGGTCGCATCGAGTTCCAACGGAGGCTCCGCAAGAAGGACCTCGGACAGAAGGTCTTGTTTCGCGACCGGCACATGTCCGGTTGGTCCTACCGCATTGTCTCTGGTGACGACGTGAACCGAGTCCCCATGATAATTGGCCACGGGAAGAGGGCCCGCCTCATGGCCACCATCGGTACCACTCGAGGTTTCGGAGACCACGATCTAGAGGCGCCCGGCGGACAGTGGATCAAACCCTTCCTCACTCCGATCCCAGAGGTCAGAGTCCACGAACTCTCGACCCACAAGTACACCGAGAGAGAGGTGTTCATAATGGCATCGGACGGACTGTGGGAGAGACTCACCAACGAAGAGGCGCTGGAGTGCGTCCAGCAGACTTTCCGAGACTTCGAGGAAGAGAAGGACGACAAGTCGGACAGAATCTATACCGCCATTGCGCACAACCTGGTCCTGGCAGCTAGGATCCACTTGGGACTTGGTGTGTGTGATTTGTGTGCACAACCACTAGCCAAGTAGCTAATTAGGTTAGAGGGTCTTTTGCACCTGGATAATTGTAGCTAAGAGGTTTAGAGTACATTAGGTGCCAAGGTCGAGTAAATGCCCCACCTCTCTTCCCCCTCCTCCCTCCCTCCCTCCTCCTCTCCCTCCCTATGAGCAGTACCGGCGAGTGAGGCCGAGAATATCACCATGGTTAATCCCCAGATCACCGTGCTAGGAGACAGTGCAGCCTGTGTCTGCTACGTGAGACTCAACCAAACTATCACCAAGTATGTCCTCCAAGTTTTGGTAACTTGTACAGTATGTTGTATGCTGTGAATTCCCAAATTCTCTGTTCGCTATACAAACTTGCCCCTGTCTTGATTTCAGTTCAGACTTTGTTTCTTATTTTCTCCATTTCTTGTAATTTCGGATTTGTTGCTTTTTAGTATGTGCACATCTCCTGTATATATATTATGTAGCTTTGGTTTTTAAGAAGTATTCTCGTTTTTCTCTTCTCTTTTTTCTGTATAATTATAAGCGTGTGTTCTTTGCATGTTGGCCTGTGTGTGGCCAATGCTTATTCACGTAGTATTATCTCACTTTTTACGTTGTTTTCACTCCAGAGATGGTGTCCAGCAAACGAGTGAATGTAAAGAGACGAGGGTTTGGCAGCAGAGGGGTGTGGCCTGGAAATGTGTCCATGTACACACCTCCTAGCATGTGTGTCCGTGTGTGTATGTGTGTGTGTCTCTCAATCTCATGCATACCTCCATTCGTATGTGTACATGCACAGAAAGCAAGAGAGGGCACTCCAGTCAAGGCTTCATTGCATGTATATAGTTTTATAACATTTTATAGTGTTTAGCCATCAAACTGTTTTTTGATACCTATTATAGATTTACTTTTTGTACAGCATCACCGTATTCACACCATAGTAATACATGTTGTTGCATAGACATAATAATATTACTAACCCGCCCCTTTACCGCCACCGAGTACGCATGCGCGTACTTAATTTGGGCGGGAAAAGCGCGCGAAATTTGCAGCTGTAAAGAAAGAGCCAGCTTTCACCAAGTCTAGTGGACCGAGAAGTAATATGGAAGGAAGGAGATACTCGCTCAGAAGCGGAGGAGTATCAAGCGTTGGTCGACAGACTAAGCTAGAGTTCCCTTGTCGACGTAGCAGTCGATCGGCGGTAAAGAGGAGACAGGGGGCGTCGACCCGGGACGAGGGCAGAGGAGCCGCCGACGAGAATGAGTCCCCACCCAAACGGTCGAGAGTGACAGGTAACGGACACACACACACACTACGTACGCATGGCCGGCCAGGCAGTTTAGTAAGGGCTACAAACGATGCGCGCTAGTTCTACGCGCAGCCATGAAAAAACTCACGCTAACTGAACATAATCATATGGTAGCTAGCAGGTGCAGCGACGAGGGTTTCCTGCTAGTCAAACACAAGCACACCCAAACACACTTCTTGTGTCTTTTATTCAACAGAAAAGCTGGAATTGGTGGCGAAAGTGTTGCCTCTCCTCCAGCACCTCTCTCCACGCCCACAAGTCACCACTGAAGGAAACCAATCAGATTGGTACCACGGGTCATGTGATGACCGCACGCAGGTCAGGTGATCCCCTTTCTAAACCAGGGACACCGACTGCTGCTGGTGGCTGCAACTTCCAGACTCCAGACACCACTGACAAACACGTAAGACATGCATACGACCCACGTGGTTGTTCTCTTGTTAATACCTTTCATGTGTGGTTGTTCTCTTGTTAATACCTTCAAGACTATGCCCTGCGTTGTTTTATTACGTGTACATGCATTTCAATCCGTGCGTGTGTGCAGTGTGTGTCTTTGCGTGGGTGTGGGGTGGGGGTGGGTGTGTAGAGGGGGTGTGTGGGTGTGGAGGGGTGGAGTGATAACTGCTATCCCTGACCCTCTTGCCCGACATAGGTGTGAGGAAACGACTGTTGTTCTCCCCTTCCTCGTCCACTGTCTCTAGCAATGTCACCTCGCTCACTCCCCTGCAGAAGACAAAACGATCACTTCACAACAGGTGTGTGTGTGTGTGTGTGTGTGTGTGCCGGCAATGGCTTATGTGACATTATAATACTATACTGTGCTAGTGAACTTGAGTGCAAAATTTCATCGGTGCTTTTTACGGTGATGTTGACTGTGCTGTTAAGAAAAATTGCGCAAATTGTAGCTCTTTTTGCCTTGCTTGGCAATAAGCTTCATGGAATCCATTGAATTCTGTACCGTTTTGTGGCGGATTAGGACATATCGCCATTAGTTTATGTGAAAAGGGGTGTATAAAATAGCATTGCCTGATTGAAGCGACTGTGTGTTGCGATGTCCATTGTCCACCACCACCAGTCTCCCGTCGTCCCTGCTGTGTCGCGACTCTCAACTGAAGGAATTGAGGGAGTGGGTGAGGGAGAGGATGGACCGGAGTGAGGCCGGGGCTCTCTATGTATCTGGGGCACCGGGAACTGGAAAGACTGCCTGCATCACTCACGTACTCAGAGACATGAAGGTTTGTACGGCCTACTGAGGGGTTACGTAAGCACGTAGGCGCTGATATTAATATTTCGGTCTGTGTGTGTGTGTGTTTCTAACAAACTGTTTTCAGAGAATTTGTCGTTATGGTGGGCGAAAATTGTTGTTTGAGTGCAGGTTTGGCGAAAGCCTGTTATACTCTATGCAATGCAATGAGCGTTTGGTACATATCACAAATGGGTTTTCTCCTTGCATGCACTGCATGAAATTATAGTTCATAGCATACCTGAAATGTATATGTACTGTATAGTATAGTGCTGTTTCCACCACTCTTGGTTAGATACAGCATAGCTCACACAGCATGACTCATTGCGCCCTCCTCTCCTCTTCCTTCCCCCAGTCGTCTCTCTCGGGGTGGTGCTCCTGACAGTCAAACTGTATGAGTGTCACGTCACCCAGGCCCTCTTCACCCACCTGGCCACCCAGCTGCGGGGGAGCAGGAGGAGGAGGAGGGGGAGGGAGGGGGAAGAAGAAGGAACTCGCACGAGACAGACTTTCAAGACACTTCACCTCCTCCAAGAAACCCATGTGAGTGACCACGACTCCTGTAGCTCTGTGTACTGAGGGTGTGGCCTTGTGTACAGATTAAAAGAACTGCGAACTGTTTAAAATTTTGTGGGGAAGGGACCTGCCTCCTGAACATAAACTTGAAACACGAAATATTTCTCAAGAAGGCGGTCAGCTGGCTGTTGTGCCACTACCAGCTTTGGGCGTGGTTACGCGTGTCTTTCGAGTCTCCATTCTGATCTATTCTACACGCGCATACACATGAATGACAATTATAGATTACGTAATGAGTCTCAGTACGGCTGCTACACATGCACGTCGGATGCGGTACTAATGTCTAGGCTCATTTGTTTGTCCTGATGTGTTGCAGACTGATTGTCCTGGATGAGATGGACCAACTGGACTGCCGTAATCAGGAGGTTTTGTACTCTCTCTTCGAGTGGTCATCACTCCCTCACTCACAACTCTTACTCATTGGTTAGTTCACCCCACACCCCTATAATCACCCTTCATCACTGCTTTACGAGAGATATCTGAGACTACTGGTCTATTAAAAACAATCCCTGATCTCAAACTTGCTTGAATTTTAATCTCGCTGTGTTGATTTTCGTGATCGCAGGTATAGCGAATGCCCTGGACCTAACCGACCGGATCCTGCCTCGTCTGACAAGCCACACCCACTGCAAGCCACGCCTCCTCCACTTCCCTCCGTACACTAGGGAGGAGATAGCGACCATCTTGAAGGCCAGGGTGGGTGGGAGGGAGGAGAGGGAGGGACGAGAGGAGGTGATTGTCGACCCTGCTGCCATTGAGTTCTGTGCCAGGAAGGTGTCGTCGGTACATGGAGACCTGAGGAAGGCACTGGACATTTGCAGGTATGTATGTAGCTGCGACTGCAGTTTTTGTATCGTTGGTAATGTGTAGGAGTATGCAAGGACTATATTTAAACTAATTTCATTTGCAATGGCCTTAGTAAATTTGGCCCTTATGTATTACAATACATGTGAACATAGCAGCAGGTTAAACTCGTGAGAAATTCATGTGTTTAAGGGTTTTAGTAGTGTAACTGTAGAAGGAGCTACTAACTATTGTGCATTTTGTGTTCTGATCGTTTCAGGAGAGCCATTGAGATGGTGGAGTCACAGAGTCACCGTCCCACACACCCCACCTCCCCTCCCCACCCCCACACCCCTCCTCACCCTCCCACCTCACGTCAGGCAACTCACGACAAGACCACCACGAGCACCGTCCCTCCTCCCCCTCTCCGAGTGAAGTTGACACACATTGCGTCGGTCATCTCTTCCATCTACTCCACAACCGGGGCTGCCAGTCTGTCCCGCTCCACCCCCCACTCCCTCCCGCTCCAACAGAAACTGGCCGTCGCCACTCTCCTTCTCTGTGTGCGTGGGAAGTCGGTGAAAGAGGTGACTCTGGGGAGACTGGAGGACGCCTACGGCCGGGTGTGTCGACAGTGGCAGCTCAAGACAGAGGGCGTGGCCGAGTTTGTGGGGCTGTGTCAGGTCCTGGAGTCCAGGGGACTACTCACAATCAGGAAGGCCAAAGAGACTCGAATGACCAAGGTAGACATTGTGTTGTATTTGCATTGCGTAGCTTCACATCATCAGATCACACACTACATGATCATTGTGTGTAGCACCCACTTTTGTATAAGATCGACACTTTAGTGTTTCTAAGTGTGTGGTTTTAACTGGTAACATGTTAGGCTGGGGTTCCCACCTGCTCTTTCATTTGTGATGGGGTTTTACATTAGCCACTGCATAATTACTGGGGATCCCCTATTCCTCTCGTGTCTGTCCAGGTGACTCTGAAGCTGCAGGAATCAGAGGTAGAGCAGGTGCTGCAAGACCAGCCCCTCCTCTCAACTGTACTGAACCAGACCCGGACGACTCAGTAGACATTTCTCTCATTTCTAACCACTCACTCTATCTCACGTCATGTATACAAGTTGAACAACTATTATTTTTAAAGAAGATTATGATAACGATGATGACAAGAAAATCGTGAAATCGCATATTATTATGAGTGAATTCTCGCGTGGAGAACTGAAGGCATGTTTAATACGAGGTTATGGAGCACATTACAGCTGGATATAGGCCGGTAGACTATTGCTAGTGTGTGTTTTGAAGTCATTCTCACCAAGTTATGTACGTGCCATGGCTGACGTGAGATTTGGCCTGTGCCATCCCTGAGCGTACACTGACAACAGGCGGCCAGTGGAGCAATCTGTGTCGATGGAATAAAGTGTAGTGTATATAGTCCCTGCACAGACACACGTAACTCTCCACCTTTGTGGGAAACGACTATTTTTGTGACACAAACTATTTCCTTATTGGGAGGCAAGGCAAACCCAATTGTGTAGCTAACTGGTCCTGTCCAACGCCTTTAAAATTTTGTTACTCAACAAAGCTGCATACGACATTGCAGCTAACACTATTCAACTGAATGTCCATCTATCATCCTCCTATACTTTCAATGATGGAGCTCTTCACCCTCAAGAGGGGGCAGCTGCCCATAAATCTCCATCTCCCTCCTACTTTTAATTGGCGAACGAAGCGAGCCTACCTAGTCATCTGAATGTGGGATTTTTCTATGATGTGACAGACACTAGGCACTGGGCACTGCACATACATACCGTAATGTAATTCCAAATGCGTGCAAAAATTGTACTGTTCGCAATCGCCAAAAATGGTTGGCATTCTATTTAATAGTTCTTTTTGCCCTTTTCTTGTGCTTTCAGATCCCAACGCTGATCATATTCATTGCGACAAACCACAGGAATTTTTGCCTAGTGTATGTGCATGTGTACACAGGCGGTAATATACTGTCGCAAACCACAACTGTTAGGCCGCAATTCTTTCTACTCCACAAATAGCTGGTTCTTCCTCAGCAGGGTGTAGTGGCTTCGGCCCTACATATACTAAAATTGGAACGATACAGAGAAGATTAGCATGGCCCCTGCGCAAGGATGACACGCAAATTCGTGAAGCGTTCCAAATTTTTTCCGTCCGCTACAATGTTTGTGATTTTTGCAGAACAGAGTTTGCTGATAAGGCACTAAAAACCTCTTCATCTGATGGTCTTCTCATCCATGTTTAATGCTACTTTGGATTTGTTGTTCGCAATTGTCGTGGCCACGGAAGTTGTTCAGATTATGGTTTCCTACCAAACCCTCTCTACCTCTAATTACTGCAAAACCACACCACCAGGCATAATGATAGTATGCCAAAACTTATGGATTTACTATAGTTGTGGTGACACTATCTGTAAGGGCCCTGTAAGTGCCCTGTGTAAGTGCCCTGGAAGCTCTCTGGCTCAACATATATTAGTTGTGCCACTTCTGCAGTTAGTCGGGACAAAAGCAGCCACCAGTACAATCTAGTAGCTAGACAGTTTTTCTCTTGAGCATCAGGGTGTCTCATGAAAACTCTTGTGTTTGTCTTGGTAGTGCTGCTAGTGTATTGCACAGCAGTCTGTGCCAGTCAGGAGAATGATCAAGTGCCGATGACTACTGGTGAACTCAGGAAAGAGTTGAATAGAGCTGGACATGCTATACTTACAACATTCTTCCTGTTTTTAATTCCTGGCTACACTCCCAGCCACCCTGCCTACTCCTGCAACGAGATCTTCCAGCTGGCCCCACAGTCTCCCTCAGGTCTCTATTGGATCAGTGGAACTGACAACAGACCCAAACACATGTACTGTGACATGGAGAGGAGCTGCAAAGGTGTAGCTGGAGGCTGGATGAGGGTGGCCTCTATCGACATGACTGACACTAGCAGTACTTGTCCATCTGGTTTGAGTACCCTCACCAGTCCTCGCAGACTGTGTTCTAAGAATACTGATCATGCTGGATGTTCTTCAACTGTGTTTCCAGTACAGGGAATAGAGTACACACAAGTATGTGGTAAGATCATTGGATATCAGCTGAAAGCCCCAAATGCCTTTTACCGATCGAATTCTGCCCATGACTCCATTGAGTCCTATTATGTGGACGGGTATCAGCATAACGCATGGACTGTCTCCTCGACAACACATCTGGACATTTGTTGCAGCCCTTCATGAGGACGATACTCTTCCTCTTGAAACATGTGCCTGTACAAACACACGTAGTAGTCAGCACACTCCAGTACCTAACTTTGTGGGAGATGACTACTTCTGTGACACTGGCAGTGAGAATGAAGTCCAAAACATATTCTATGGAGATGATCCTCTCTGGGATGGTGCTGGATGTGGTCGTTCAACACCTGCTGTGACTTCAACTCTCCACCATGGTTCAGGAAAGAGATCTCTCCTCCAACCAGTGATGACATTGAGATAAGACTTTGTGCTGACGAGAGTATTGATGATGAAGATATTAACTTCGAAATACTGGAATTATATGTGCAGTGATTGTAAAAAATTGAGTTTGATTTACACAACTAACTTGCAAGATGATTTAAAACAGTGATCATGTAGCTCGAATGATGAATAGGTCAATTCTCTGTGATTGGAATACAAAAGCCTGCAAACTCAGCAAAAACCTGTATATACACCAGCAAAATTCCACCACTCACCAACCATTGCCAGCTGCCCAGAAATGGCTGTAGTAGTTCCCACTTAAAATTCAATCTACACCCTGATTTTTTTCATAAAAGCCTCCCTGGGTTCCCTAAAGTTTGCCAATGTGCGTGTTGGTGTATACTGCCGTGGTTATACCAAGGGAGCCTTAGTTAAGCATGCAACTGTTTGAAAGAGGCCATCCCTTATGTTGTGTTGTAGCTAGCATTCTAATGAAGTCCATCAGTGGATGTCTTCTGGTAGCCAGTAGGCTACCGCAAGAGTGACCATCCATTATGTGTGGTGGCTAGCATTAATGACCCAAGCCATACTATTATGCTTTTTCCATCAGGTGAGCATCATTGATATGGCTTTTCTGGTAGCCAAGGGCCGCTACAAAAGAGGCCATCTCATATGTTGTGGTAGCATCTCATCAACAGCACAGGTATGACCACACCTTTAAGCTTAATCCCTTTCCCTTTGGCCTCCACCTCATGATTCGAGAGAGTTCCAGGTGTGCCGGCAACACTGCCCGAATGTCCCAATCATGTTCGTGAGATGGCGCCATGTAAATAAGCAGAAATTGATGTATAACATATTAGCGCCTAGTATTATAGCCATATATATATAAATTCTTATGCAACTTATGGAGGCTCTGGGCATATATGTGACCATCAGGTAGGTGTGGGGGAAGTGGGGATTGAATTGAACATTTTATGTGTAGCAAATTCCTGCTATGTATGACTCAAAGCCGCATTTTTGCAATAGCCATTCTGAGTCATTGTTTTGTGGAGCTTGCAAGTGACACAATGAGTATATAGTATAATGAGCAAGTATGGCGGGAGACCATTTATGAATTATGTTGCCATTCCCACTGGGCATGCGTAAAATGTGGCAATTAAACTTGAGCAGGTGTACAAAGAAAGGCACCAAAAATCTCTGCATCATAATTATCAAACGATTAAGTTTTCTCTATAAAATTATGAAGTGATGCACTTCCTCCTATGCTACTGCAGCATAATGATTTGCGCAGATTATGGTTTCTTACCTCGAAACCCTCCCTAATGGACCACCTGGAACATTAGGATGGTATGCCTCAACATCTGGAATATACTAGCTCCAGGGCCTCACCATCAGTCGTGCCACTTCTGTGGTCTGTCAGGACAAAAGCAGCCACCAGTAAATTAAGTAAAAACTAGTATAATAGTTAGCTTGAAGATCTGGGTGTGTTCAGAGCCATGGAAACTGTGGCTGCTAGTCTATGGCACAGTATTCTGTGCCAGTCAAAGAGAATGATCAAGCAGAGGCTGGTTAGCCAACATGTGTGTTACGTGTATACTGCCATGACGATGTCCCCTCCCATTTAACCCCATGCCAGCATGCAAAATCATCAGCGCATGCGCCATGCGCAACTAACAATCAGGCTGTGCAACCAGCGGACTGCCGCAAAAAGCAGTACACAACATCCACATATACCACAAGTGATGCACAACCGTGAAAACAATGACCAATCATCAACCTCACTTTTGAGCATCACTACACGATTGCTCAAGAGGGACCACTCAGCACGTCCTGCAAAACTCTGCTTTTGAGAGGAAAATACAGAGTGGTGACCATATCAAAGCGTACAGGACAGGACAAACAAAATTACGGCTATTACGCCACCACTTGCTCTCTCCAGGTCCAGAAGAGCTGGTTGTAGCTCCCTCCAAATCCATTACCCCTGCTGTAGTCACCAGCATCACAAACTGGCCCAGCAGCACACAGTTCTGACTCCTGCAAACTGACTCCAAGTCTCCATAGTGACCTCGCTCCTCTGTGCAGCAACGAGCCCTACTCAGCACCTTGGCTCTATTTGTGCAAATTAAGAAACATAACTTCCAACAGCTCACAATGATAAAAAAAATGTTTTTGTCGAGACACACGCAGCGATTGCGAGGGCGAGATGACTCCCTCTGCTCAATGCTATGCATTTATACGTCTCTCAGTGCCGCGCGCCTCAGACTACTTGGCGCATTTCACCATGCATGCGCGCATTCCACATGGGAGCTTAATTTTCGTATAATTCGTCGCTGCACTCAAAAACAACACGACATACAAATATAGTGTAGAGGAGCATGCAGCCATAGAGACTATGATTGGCGTGTCCCTACATAGCTGTAAGTCCTTGCATGTCCTTGTGTTGCCTCACATAATTAAAAGAGACCAGCCCGCTTTGTGGGTCTTGAGCATCTCTGCATGACAGTTATGTCGTCTGGTAGCACAGCACTCTACAAGAGTGCACGCAGCCCATATGTCGTGGTAGCAGCCCATGAATGTGAATGTTGTATTCGTAAGGCTTTAATAGAGACCAACCCATAATATGTTGTGTATAGCATTTTGCAGTGGACAAAGGAATGGCTTCAAAAGGTTGACATGTTTCTCCCCCGGCACTGCCTTC